TCTCTCTTTCATATATATATATATATATATATATATATATATATATATATATATATATATATATATGTATATAAATTTATGGTTATATATCTGATTATATATAATCCATATATAAAAATGAATTTTTTGAACCATTTAAGGGTAAGTTACTGGCATTATGGCCCTTTGTCCCTAAGTACTTCAGTGTATATTTCCTAGGAATAGGGATACGATCTCATATAACTACAGTACAGTTATCAACTTTAGTAAATTTAATACTGATATGAATATTTTCGTCTAATCTAAATTGATATTCCAATTTTGCCAATTGACTCAGTAATGTGCTTTAGAGCATTTCCCTCCCCGCCCCCCCCCCCGCCGCGGGATCCAGCCCAGGGTCAAACAGGTATAAAATGGTTGTTTTAAACACCTATTTTTTTGCAGGAGGGGGAGCAAAATATTTGTTGCACAGCAGTCATAGCCAGAAAGGCCTTAATGACAGAATTATCATCAACGTGAAAAGAAGGAGGAAAAGGAGAGAAAAAAGAAAGAGGAGACTCAAAGAAGTGCTGAGAAAGTGCCAGTTACTCTTCCCACAAATGTCTCTCAATGTCTGCCTAGCCCTAAAATTTCCCATAATCCTTCAGGACCAAGAAGATGACCAAAGTGTCCTGCTTATGCTCCTTGTCTTCTGAAGTTCTAGCCTATTTTCAGTAGAATCTATTTCAGTCCACCTCTTTGTGAGCTGCTTCTATGCCTGAGTCCTGACCAAGATTCTCTTTCCTTCCTACTCTGCACCACTATGATCCCTGTGTATAGGACAATTCCTGAAACCCATCCTATAGGAAATATGTGCCAGTTGCCTCCCAGTCATCCATTTCTCCCTCCTGTCAAATAATATCTCCAAATTTCCCCTCTGCTTTATGAATGGCACCCAAGCCCAGCTACAAGGGTACACTTTAATTCTCTTAAGATTATCAACCTCCACTAGCCACAGTAATTAGCTGGAGGGTGGATGGATAGCCTAGGTCAGGACAATCCGGAACTGATTCAACTGTGGCATCAAAACTACAATGAGATACCACTTCACACTCCCTAGGATCACCATGATAAAAAAGCCAGATAATAACAATTGTTGACAAGAATGTGGTGAAACTAGAACCCTCACACACTGCCAGTAAGAATGTAACACGGTGCTGCTGCTTTGGGAAACAATCTGACATTTCCTCAAAAGGCTAAACATGGACTTAACTATATAACCCCTCAGTACAGATCCAAGATAAATTAAATCATATGCCCATACAAAAACTTGTATATGCAAGTTCATAGCAGCATATTCATACTAGCCAAAAAGTAGAAAGAACCTGACTGTCCATCAACTGATGAGTGGTTAAACAAAATGTGCTATATTCATACAACAGAATTTTATTTGGCAGTAAAAAAGGATGAGATACTGACACCTGCTACAACACGGATGAACATTAAAACCATCATGCTAACTGGAAGAAGCCAGTTACAAAAGGGCACATATTATATAATTCCATTTATATGGAAGGTTCCAAGGAAGAAAATCCATAAAGGCAGAAAGTAGATTAATGGTTTCCAAGACTGAGGGGGAAATGCTGAGTGACTGATAATGTGTATGGGGTTTCTTTCTGGAGATAGGAACATATTCTGAGATTAGACAGTGAGGATGGTGGCACAACTCTGTAAAGATACTAAAAACCATTGAATTATACACTTTTTAAAGTGAATGTTATGGTATATGAATTAAACTTTAATAAAACCATGGGAAGAAAAGATTCAGTTCCAGGATTTTATCTGACCTATCAAGGAAATTTTTTTTTTTTTTAACTCCAAGGTGTCCCCTGTATCATCTCTATTCCTTTTTTTATTATTACTACTCTTTGATTCAAAGTTGAGTGTACAGCAAGCAAGAAGCCTACAGGCTCAACTCCACTGAGACTTCTATTCCAAAATGTTATCTTGCCCTTAGAAAATACCCCAAAAGCCTACACAGAAAGAAACCTCTACAAAAAGAAATCACTGATGACATAGGAGAATATGGGAAAGAAAGAACTGGTTGTCATTCGAGCCAGATAAAGATGAATTTTCATCTTAATCTGGAAAGTTTCCTTCTCAAGTAGCTGGAATAAAATAGGGAATTATGTAAATCTTTACAAAAAGAATGACCTACAAACTTGGAAAGAATGGTAGAGATCATTCCTCTTCCCCTACCGAAAGAAATCCTGTGACTAGGGAAAGAATTTCTTTGCCAATGTCACCTAGCAAGTTGTTAGCAGGACACAGGTCTTCTGACTCCCCTGCTTAGAGCACTTTACCTCATGCCAAGCTGGGTGTTATCCAGTACCCCACAGAGCCTCACAGCACAGAGATGGTGTAATGCTACCGATCAAGAGACCTGTTGAATGCATCATTTTGGCTTAAGCTGAGTGACTGTCTGGCTAAAGGACTGTCAAGAAACTTCGACAAGCAGATTCAAGACCTGATTTGGCCAGCAGATGTGATTTGGTGCATAATTCAATTTTTTAAATCGGACTACCAGCA